GGAGTTGAGATAAAGGAAGTCTTGTGTTTGATTTTGTTGGATTACATGTTAATGATTTGTTGTTTGATTTCATTATTGATAAGTTTTTTGGATTGAAAATCTGAATAAGATGATGAATATGTGGTTATAGGTTTTTGAATGTGTTTTGAAATAGATGTGATGATCTATGATTTATATTGGTTGCATGTTGTAAATGAGGTTGCTTTCGAGCTATTTGTAGGGCTTAGATGTTGTATGATGTGTTGCATGTGGTGGATTTCTGGTTTTCAAGTAGATTGGACAAATTGAGTTTTTGCACAAGAGAAAAAATTGATATCCCATCAAGCGCATTTTCATGGTGTCGAATGTGGTTCAAAGTCAAGGGTTCTCAACCTTAATGACAGAACTAGCATAAAAAGTTTGGGGTGCCAAATTAATTTTTTTATATATATAAATTAAAATTTTTATTAATTAAAAAATAACAGAATTTCTCATTTTCTTTACTTAATTTTTTTAATTTTATTATAATTAGTAATATGATAATATACAAATATAATATATATATATATATATATATATATATAAAGTTTTGGGGAGCCGTGGCTCCCCTGTGGCACTACTAAGGTCCGCCTCTGCTCAACCTCATCACGTTGAGTGTAGAATTGGTGGCATCGGGCATGGGAAAAGAGAATCATTTTTTTCTTGATCACACTAGATGTTAGTTTGAATGGTGTTGGGTGTGAGGAGAAATAATTGTCTTTACTTGAATTGACGTTGGGTGCCAATGGAGTGACGTCAAGTATGAATCAGGCAGAGGCCCTCTACCTAATTGGGGTCAAGCATGGGGTTTTGTCACTTCAAAGTGTGAGAGATTGGGAGACTCTCTACCTTAGCCACCTGAAGCGTAGATAGTTCGGCATCAGACATGGTGAGACAAGAAGCCCTTGCCTCAATGGCGTTGGATGCCTAGAGGATGGCACCATGCATGAGTAGCTTATTTAAAACATAATGTTTAAGTTGATTAAAAGGTTGAAAGATGATGATTTAGTCATAAGATGGATGTTAGGGTAATTCATTATGCATTGGTTTGAGATAATGTATATTGATGCTTATGCTATTAAATGGTAAGTTGATTTATACTTAAATTGTTAAGTTGTTAGACATGTGGTATAAATACATGTCTTATTGAGATACATAAAAAACTATAGGAGAGTAAAAGATGTTTCAAAAATTAAAATATCTTACTGTGTGAATATAAGTTGTGGTGCTTTGAGAGCCTAGTTGAGAACCTTTCAGTAAGTAAGTTGGTTTCTCAATGAGTCATTTTAAGTTGTCTCCTCTAGATTTTATGTGGAATCCATAAGTGGGAAATGTTGAGGCATACGTGTATAAAATGACCAACCAAGTAAAATATAAGATCTAAGACTTAATCCCTAATTAAGTATTGGAAAGACATAATATTTGGAAGGTAGTTGGTTGACTAATCCCATAGGAAACTTTGTGTTGCAAGCTAATGCCATGATAGACTCATACATAAGTTGTTCTATCCTAATAGTAATATTAGAATTTCTAGTTTAAGTGACAAAAATTGAGAAATCAAATTGAAGTTGTAAATCTGACACTCTTTAAGGCCTAGGTTGTCTATACTTAACCTAGTTGCGATAGTCAAACATTGTGGTTCGGTAATGTCTAATCAATTAAACTGTTTACCTCTATCATAGGAGATCTCCGTAGTTGACATACGTAATGGCACATTAGTTATTTATTGTTGTCTATGTTGATAATATTGTTATACTGAAGTTGTTAAGATGTGTTGTGGTGTAATTTGTATGTATTGTAGTTGGTAATAAGGTCAAGTTGTGTTGTGTAAAGGACTATTGTTGTTTAAGTTGCTTTATGTTGTTGTATATGCCAATTTCTTTCACAAGCTTACATTTTCTTTTCCTTGTAGTTAAAATTGCAAATATCATACTTTATATGAGAATAAGACATGATTATTAGGTTTGCTTAAATGATTGATAATGAGTCATATTAATAATAACTTTTTTGTTTAATATTATTCTAATGTAGCATGATCAATGTATAAAATACTCCATTGACAATTAGAAATTAATTTATGTATAATTATATAGTTGTTGTAAATTATATATATAAAGGATATATAATTTCACGAGGAGATTTATTGATTTTAGTTATTTTATTTTCAACTTAATACATATATAAATTATATAAATGACCGAATAATTATTATATAAGAAACCTAAATTAGTTGATTTGAGCTAATATTTCTATTAAATAATAATTAATTACTATGTAATAACTTATTGAATTATTATGATTTTTTTTTCTATTCATAGAATTAATTAAAAGTTAAACTTGATATTAAGAATTTACAATTCACATATTTTATTCAATCAATTAAGCTATATTCATTTATACATAATGATGACTTTAGTTTTCAGCATCCAAATTTGAATATTTTGGAACACAAATTGTAAAGCAAAAACCAAATGGGGCCTTGGAACAATAAGAATAATTAATTTGAGAGTACTCGTGCTAAATATTTAAAAATACAAATCATTCTTAGAATCTAATACACATTTATGGTAACTATGACTAGTAATGGATCTGTGCAGCGTCAGGGAAGGGACCACATGCAGATCATGGTACAAAAGTAAAGTGACTTTTTTTGTTTCTGAAATTAATAATATATATATTTTTATTTAGAGTGTCCCAAACACAATTTAATATTTCATCATCTTACAATTCACTCCTATCCTTTTTTCTTTCCTTTTATCGGTCCACATTTTATTTTTATTTTTATCATATTATGTATTACTTCGATATGTTTTCTCTTTGCTTCTTTTTATCTGTCTCTTTCTCCCCTCACTTCAAAATGAGGTGGAGGTTGATCATTTTTCTTAATGAAGCCAAAGTTTTAATAATTCTGGAGACTTTTATGCATATATACCTAATTTCGTAGCAGACTTAAAAATGCATAAAATAAGATTAGGTCAGTATTTTTTATTGACATAAGTAAATTTTAACAGGTAAATATGGTTAAAATCAATATATTTTATAACATTTTAAAAAACAGTAAAATACGTATTACTTCCATAAAAATTGCTTAAGATTATTTTTCCTTCTTGAAAAATAAACTATACACCCCAAGAGAAACATGTGCTACATTTTAGACAGTTGAGATTAAAAAGACTTGTTGACAAAAAGAAAAAAAAAACTTGAGTTTTATGTCCAGAGAAACAAATATAAAAAATATTTGAATTGATTGCCTCAAGAAAGAAAATGTTAAATAACTTTAACGGTACAAAATATGGTTCCTCTAAATTACATTTAGTGAAAATTTGGACATAGTATTAGATTGTGACAAATTTCTAATATGGATTTCAAGTATCATATCTTATACTTAGATCTAATCGTTTCCAGCCACTTGCTCTGAATGAAAAAGAAACTCAACCACATCTCTTATTATGGAAGAGAGTAGAAAAAATTATTGATGTACAAATAACTGAGAGATAAAAAGAGAATAAAGAAAAATAAAAAAGATGCAGTAAATCGTGGGTTGCAATAGAGAGAAAAGTAAAAATACTGTGCAATATAAATAATTATGAAAGAAATGGCTAATACGTCTTATTTAGTTGTGTCTTATGTCAAATTCAATCTTAAATATGCCGTAAACAATGTGTGAGTTTAAGACTTAAGAGGAAAGAAATTTGTCCAATTTTTCTGTACAAACCAACCACCATCATAAAATGAGCGATTTGAATAAATAATTGAGTAATTAAGAAAAATATAACGATGGGCTGAATATGCCCCGTGGGCCCAATCCAAATAATTCCCATGCACATGATTAGTTGCATAGATTGATGCAGTTTTCAAGAAATTCACCAGAGGAAATAGATTCTCTCATGTTTATTAATTTAATGAGAGGATTTGAAGATGCATAAGTACATGGATGAATAACTTCTAGCACATCGAAAGATGTTGCCAATGCAGTATATTATGTGTAATATAACATATAATTAACTTAAAAACATACTTTTATTTTGTTTTTAAGTATAATATAACTAGTATTTTAGTTTGTATATTGCACATGATAAATAAATTATATTCACAATAAATAATATATAAATTATATATATAGGATGACATGTAAATTAGATTTAAATTTATAATATAAAACTTAAATTATGGTATAAATTTATTTAAACTATTAATAATTTCTTATAAAATAAACTATTGAAATTCAATATACAGATATAGATGAAAGACAGTGTGTTGAAAGGGATAGGCAATTAAGAAGATGAAATATAAATAAAATAAAATAAACAGATAATAGTTTGAGAGATTTTTTTTTAGTTGCGAGAGTAATGTGTGAAAATCACATTCAAATGAGAAGAGATATAATATTGATAATATATAATTAATTTATAGTAAAGGATTAGATAAATGTTTATTATTATTATTTTTATTTTTATTTTTATTTTCCCTCATCTGGAAACTGATTAGCATTTATAACCACTGTTATAAGATAATGACGTTACATATTGTAAATCATTTATTTTGTGAAATTTTCGTTTCCAAAATTGTTTTATGATTGAAATCGAAGGTGGTTGTGAATGTGATTTATAGGTTATATGTAATAAATGATAGGGGCGATGTCTAATATGCACCCCGTAATTAAGGTGCTTGGATTTTTAGTTTTTGCAACCATTGATTATGACATTATGTTAAAAAGTTAGAACTTTAATTTGAATAAATTTCTTTATAAATATTTATAAAAATAAAATAAAATGAATTGAAAATTTTCAGATAACTAAATCAGCTTACTCATTTAACTTATCTAAACACAAAAGTATCTAAATTGATTTTAAATTTCGAGAGAAACTTAAAATTAACTTGTACAACTTACTCATTTAACTCATCTAAACACAAAAAATATATAAATTGATTTTAACTAGTAAGACAAACTTAATTTATTTTAATTTCTTAAAATTCTTATATCAATTACTAAAAGTATTGGTGCATGCTTGTACCGGATCCATTTCTGTGTTGACCCATGAGTCCATGACCCAAATAAACCCAACCTAGCACCTCATCCAGTTGTTTTCCCTTGCCTAGTAATCTTTTTTTGCAGTGCAATACAGTGAGAGGCTCAATCTCAATCTCAATCTCATTCCAATTTCCAAAGGCACGTGACCGGAATTCTTGATTCCTCTGCTTTGACCTCTGGCACATGCCATCTTGAGGGAGATTTTAGAAAAGGTTCGACTTAATTGACTAATAAGAAATTAAATTACATTGTTATGATGAGTTGGCCACAAAGAGTCAGCAAGCATTTGATAACCAACAATAACTGACATCAGTGTTAGAAGCAACCACTAATCAATAATACCCTTCATTGAGATTTGCGTATAAAGAATTCCTTTTCTAATTTGAAATTTCAGCTATGAATTTGGAAATTATGACATGGAGGCCTTAACCTTAACTATTTATCGGGGTAAGGTTGTGATAAATGAAAACAAAATTGATAGACGAAAGAGCTGTAACAAGAACTTAGTCCCTCAAAGCTCTGCAAGATCATGAACATCATCTGAAATGGAAATCAAGGACCAAATAACTATTACCAATAATCTCCACAAGAACATGAACCATTTTTGAAATGGTGAAACCTGCTAGAGTCTCGCACTACAATTTCTAAATTTTTTATCTCCGATATGTACTTAATAGCAACATGACAGTCACAGCAAACCCGCAAGTTTTTCATCACCCTTATTGGCACTCCCTCTGGGGTGGTCATTAAAGCAAAAGCAATTGCCAATTTCTCACTATGGTGACTCAAGTTGTGTTCTTTTTCCTCATTGTCCATGTCATGCATAACCGAGCTAGTATCAGGTACATAGCCCCGCTTCTTCATTTCTGAAGTTAATTCTTCCAAATACTGATTGATCTCCACATGTTTTGGGTGGCATTCATCACCCATGTGGAACTGGTGAACCCGATTCTTCACTTCTACCCAACTTACACCTGGTTCTTTCTTCACCATCTTGTCCTTCATGGCTCTCCTCACCTCAGAAACATTATGCCACCTCTTAGCTGAAGAATAAATGTTGGCAAGTAGAACATACGAAGCCGAGTCTTGAGGATCAATCCTAAGAACTTCTTCAGCAACCCTTCTTGCAATTTCTGCATTCTTGTGGATTTTACATGCAGATAATAACGTTTTCCATATAATTGCATCTGCTTTTACAGGCATGGATCGTATCATAGTCTCTGCCTCCTCCAAACAACCAGACCTGCCAAGTAGGTCAACCACACAAGTATAGTGTTCTAGTCTGGCCTTGAGTCCATACTTCTTTACCATCATGTCAAAGAAATCAAGCCCTTTGTCCTTCAGTCCACAATGACTACAAGCATATAGCAAGCTCAAGAATGTGACTTCATTTCCTGGCAGATTTTCTTGTTCCATCTCATTGAAAAGCTTGATGGCTTCCTCTCCTTGACCATGAAACCCATAAGCAGCAATCATTGAGCTCCATAACACAACATCCCGCTCTTTGCATTCCAGAAAAGCTTTGATAGAGTCTTGCAAACTTCCACATCTAGAGTACATACTAACCAATGAACTAACCAAAGAAACTTCAGAACTAGCTCCTGCTTTTATTGCTTCAGCATGAATTTGCTTCCCTTGACCAAGCGTGGCTAACTCCGAACATGAGCTAATCACACTCACTAAAGTAATCCTATCTGGTCTAAGACCTGCCATTTTCATCATACAGTATTGGTCCAGAACTCCCTCAAAGTACCCTTTCTGAGCTTTTCCCGCCATAAGTGTATTCCAAGCAACCAAATTACACTTTGGCATCCAATTGATAACTCTTTCTCTATCGTGCATGCTTCCAGCTTTCATATACATATGAGCTAAAGAGCATCCAACAACCGAATTAAACTCAAACCCACATTTCATAACATAAGCATGAACCTGTTGCCCTGAAATCAAAGCTCTCAAATGTGCACATCCCCTAAGCGCGCTACCTAACGAGTACTCATCCGGCATGAATCCCAACTCATTCATCCTCGAAAACAAGAACAAAGATTCTTCATTCATTTCAAACTTGGTCAAACCCGTGACCATGGCATTCCACGTGGCAACATTTCTCTCAGGCATTTCATCAAACAGAGTCTTGGCACACTCGATATTGCCCATTTCAAGATAGGCCTTGAGCATGATGTTACATGACATGATGTTCCTCCTTGGCATTCGATCAAACAGTGCCACTGCGGTTTGAAGTTCCCCAAATTTTGAGTAGAGGTTGAGGAGGTGGTTGGAAATGAACTTGTCTGAGGAACACCCAGAAGTCAATATCAAGGAATGAAGCTGTTTCCCCAAAGAAACGGACTTTAACGGAACACATGCTTGCAGGAGGTTTGAGAACAAACGGGGTTCTGCCCATATCTCAGATACAAAGCTTTCAAACGCTTCTCTTATGTGCCCTTTGGAACACAAGGTGGCAAATTGTTCTTTGGCATCACGAAAGTGATTATTTTGCACGTGGGTTTTGAGGGAAATCGTGGAAAATAGAGAGATTGGGTTTTGAAAAACGGTGGGCACAGACACACAAGGGAATCGAATACGATGAAGACCAAACCCGCCCATTAACTGTCCTTGTTTAACTAATAAGTATTTACAACTCAAACATAGTATATATTTTTTTAGATAAGATATAACATTCCAATACTAAATGTTTTTGTGAATTGTGATATACTGCTCTTACTTGGCCAACTTAAACAGATTACCCTTTAGTAAAAAAATAAAAATAAAAATACATACGATCTATCTTAAAAAAATTGTTATATACTTTGCTATATAAATAACATTTTCTTATGAGCTTTTAATAGTATTACTTTTCAATTTGATGATGGTCAGAACTCAAACATGTATCTTCTTAATTGAACATTTTTTTTTCGCATTACTTACTTCCCTCACATACGTAAGGTGGTAGAATAAGAATAGAATATGCATAGTTTCTTTTTTATAGAACTAATTACAGTTTGTAGATGGGTCTAAATTGACATAGAATTTATGTGTACGGAAATAGTATTATTCTATTTTTTCAATTTATGGATACATAATATTTTTCCTTTTGGTACTGTACATATTCTATTTTCCTAGTCCGCTCATACTTTAAGCAACACACAAACCTGATCCAAACAATGTCTCCTTAATGGACTAAGGCAATAATAAGTAACACACAAATTATGCGTGTTGCTTATCCATTTAGGAGTATACTCTCTCCGTTTTTTTTCATAGTCGTTTTATTAGAATTTGTTATTTTTTTTTCATTGTCATTTTACTAAAATCAATGACTTATTAATTTTTTTTTTCCATTTTTACCCTTATAATTAATACATGTTTACTGAACAATGTGTGTATTTATTTTTAATGTCTACTTATTTTTTCTTCAACTATCCATATAAAGTTAATGTGTATTTATAAGAGCAATATGTTCCCAACAAAATACTATAAAAAACAATATAACCATTAATTCATGGACAGGTATAATTAAATACAGTAGGTTACAGTTCACGTGTAATCAATGCATTAATAATTAATAGAGTAGATTGCAATTCACCAGTCTCAAAAATGCAAAAAAAAAATAAAATAAAGGGTAAAATAAGAAAGTAAGTAATAAATATTTTTTAAAACTAAAATATCAATGATTTTTTTAAGTCCCGTGCAAAACCTTAAACGACTATGAAAAAAAATGGAGGGAATACTATTTGAAGTTTCAATTAGAATTCCAAAACTATAATTTGGGACTTTTCGAACTAAAACCATACTAAAAAAGAATAAAATATAACCAATCTAAGATGGTAGGTACTATGACTAATTATGTTAATACGGTGCCGATGCAGTTGAATGAAACCAAGTTACAGAGAAAAAACATGATTTCTTTGTTGTCTTCGTAAAAAATCCTCACAGGTAAAGTTATCAGATCATTCATTAATCAAGCCAAAGGTGGTGATTAAGTAGAACCCTCTCCGGTGTGACAACTCAATATTTGAATCCCTAATATTACTGATAAACTGTCTTAAGGTCACATTTCACTTTCCCTGTAATCAGCCACTGTTAAATAGATTAATGATTTTTTTGACACTACGAATTACATGATTTTGATAATGGCCAATGCTCTCAAGTCTATACATTTCCTTCAAAATACTGGCAATACCATCTGGCTACCAAGCTAATCTTAATTCCTAACCACTTACCACCATCTCAACAAATGGATATCCAAACTGAACCTAACTCACAAATACAGTGAATTTGCACCCAAACTAGATATTGCATCTCACCAGTTACAAACAACTCTATCTTAGGAATTAAAGTTGTTATTGTTGACAAAAGTTACACTGTATTATAGATGTAAAGAAACTACTAAAATATTTTACACTTCAAACAATTTCTCTTTTATATATACTCTCTGTTGTCACTGTCAACACTACAAAAATGAAAAAAGGTAGAAATTTTAATCATTCACAAATTTGGAGTAGGCTGTAGAGGGCATTCCGTATTCTAAGAAAATACATATCATATTAAAGATGTTACATATAGGCTATTCAAACAGTGGCTGGAACTGGAGTTGAAGGAGGGACCCTATTTTCAACTGGAATTTCAACAAATTCAGACAGTATAGCACGGAATTCATCACCAGTTATTGTCTCCTTCTCCAGAAGGACTTCCACAATCTTATCAATTGCCTCACGGTTGTTCCTTATATGCTCTAATGCAATTTCATATGCATCATCTGAGAGCCTCTTGACAGCAGCATCGATGTCTTCTGCAAGCTTCTCTGACATTGAGTTCCTTGCCATCATTCTCATGATAACATCCCCACTTTGTGCTGATGCCTCCATAAGTGACCAAGGACCAATATCAGACATTCCAAATGTGGTTACCATCTGCGAAAGTATCATTTAATATTAAATGAAACAGCATAGGAGGTTAAGGAAGGAAAATGAAAAGATTTTTTCAATAAAAAAGTTAAAAGTTCATCCTTCAAAGTAAACATCATCGTTATTTCAATTGAAGACAAAGTTTCAAGTTTCAGGCATTCAAGAAATCAATCATATGACGGTATTTATTGTAGGTTACACCAATTAATTGTAGCTAACAACACAACTCCTAATGTTCTGACAAAATATTGGCAAATGAAATCAGATTCTAAATTAATTTGGCTATAAAATGTGAGTTTAATTTCTAAGCATGGTCAATGTAAAAGATTTTATAGAAATTATCATATTTATGACTTTTAAAGTAAAAAATATCATTATACATGAATAATTGAATATAGTCTATAATTAGATGACAGTGTAAAAAGTATATTTAAATTAAATTCAGGAAATACCAGCATCCTCCACCTCACAAAAATAAAATAAAGAAAAAGGAGATATAATGCGACACAAAAGCATATAATTAACAACTACCTGTTTTGCCAAACCGGTGATTTGCTGCAAATCACCAGCTGCTCCAGTTGTAACTTCAGGCTCACCAAAAATGACTTCTTCTGCAGCCCTACCACCAAGTCCTCCAACAATTCTTGCAAAGAGTTGTTGTTTGGAGATCAGAGTTGGATCATCGTTAGGAATGAACCATGTAAGACCCCGAGCTTGACCACGAGGAACTAGTGTTACCTTTTGCACAGCATCATGACCAGGAGTCAAAGTTCTGAAAGCAAGTACAAACATGGGTTATAACAACTTTACGGTAATTGTTTGCTGAAACAGCTTCTAAGAGTTACCACTGAACAAGGGTAGTTTTGCTCGCTTAAGATCATATATTAATTGTTACATAGTATAGTAAGTCAAGAAGACAAAACACCTTGCTTCCATTGCAACCTTAAAACATTTACTTAATGACAAGAATGACAGCCAAATTTCTTACCCACAAATAGCATGCCCAACTTCATGATATGCCACTAAACTCTTGCTCTTCCCATCTGTCATCACTGTTCCTTCCATTCCAGCCACAATCCTGTCAATAGAATCATCAATCTCTTTAGATGAAATTGCTGTCTTTCCACGCCGACCAGCTAATATAGCAGCTTCATTCAAGAGATTCGCAAGATCAGCTCCACTAAAACCAGGCGTTCTCATTGCAATTACATCAAGAGAAACATCAGCATCAAACTTTTTATTGCTACCATGAACCTTTAGGATTTCAGTCCTTCCCCTTATATCTGGAACATCAACTGTTACCTGCAGAAGCATTGATGTTTAGTGACTTACTCATTAACAAAGAAGCATTAGGCATTTCAATGATTTCATAATTCAAACCATAATCATACCTGTCTATCAAACCGGCCTGGTCTCAATAGGGCAGAATCAAGAATGTCAGCCCTGTTGGTTGCTGCAATGACAATGATACCAGTATTACCCTCAAACCCATCCATTTCTGTCAAAAGTTGGTTGAGGGTCTGTTCTCTTTCATCATTCCCACCACCAATACCAGTCCCTCTTTGTCTTCCAACAGCATCAATTTCATCAACAAAGACAATGCAAGGGGCATTCTCTTTGGCCTTCTTGAACAAATCACGGACTCGAGAAGCACCAACACCAACAAACATCTCAACAAACTCAGAACCTGATATCGAGAAAAATGGAACACCAGCTTCACCAGCAATAGCCTTAGCTAAAAGGGTCTTCCCAGTTCCTGGAGGACCAACTAGAAGAACTCCTTTCGGTATGCGAGCCCCCACCGCAGTGAACCTTTCAGGCTTCTTCAGAAACTCCACCACCTCCATAAAATCCTGCTTGGCTTCATCCACACCAGCAACATCATCAAATGTCACTCCAGTGTTAGGTTCCATTTGAAACTTGGCTTTGGATTGACCAAAAGCAAGAGGAAATCCAGGCCCACCAGGACCTCCCATCCCTCCAGATCGTCTGGAGAGAAGGAACAATCCTCCAATCAAGATCAAAGGGAAAGCCAGATTCCCAATCAGGTTAGCTAAAAGAGAACCCGATTCTTCCTGGGGACTATGAGCTGCAAAGTCAATATTCTTTTCCCTGAATTTCTGAAGGAGCTCTTGGTTAAGTCCAGGAAGCTGAACCCTAACACGCTGAACCCTATTCCCCAACTCAGGAGAAACAGCCTCAACATAAGCAATGGTTCCATTGTCATACAGATCCACTTTTTTAACCCTGTCCTTGTCCAAGTACTCCAGAAACCTGGAGTAAGACATTCTGGAGGAGGAAACGGCTTGCTCATCAGCATAAGCTTTGCCAGTAGTTCCCAATAATGCAGGCAAGCCAACCCCCACATTTCCAACCAACAATTTCAAAAACCCCCTTCTCCCTTCCTGTTGCCTTTGCTCCAAGGATGCCTTTATGGAAAACGCTTTTGATGCCTTATGATTCAAAGATGAAAGTCTCCAAGATGAGTAGAGATATCTTCCATTGAAGTCCTTGTTAAGAGCTATCCTATTACCCCGTGTAGATAAACCATTCCCAACAAGGCATGCAGATGATGCTGCCATCTGCATCAACAAGAGCATCCAATCCAAAACATTGGCTGTTAAACAAACCACACATATAATACACTCTAATTGGAAGGAACATGGAAGTCTCAATTCAATTGATGGGAAGGTGTATAAATAGAAAAAATATTAAAATATGAGCCTTTTTGATTGAGGGGTCCGTCATTAACACCTCCAACAATCAAATTACTAAAAATGAATTGACAAAATTTAAGGCAATTAACATAACATTAAAGACATGAACAGCCAAGTATGTTTTAGATAGCAGGGAAGTGAGCCATGAAAGCAAAAAAAAAGAGCATATACCTTAAAAGTAAAATGAGATAAGAGAGAAGTGAGAGAGTAGAGAATTAGAAGGTCTGGACCGTATTGGTGCAGAGGAAGGTGATGATGGAAGAGTTGTTAATGTGTGGTTTATAGAAGGAGTGGCTGTGGTTTGGGAGAGTCATACGTGGCGTTTTCCTAACGTTTGATTCGTCCCTCACCGGTCCAATGTTAATATTTGAGATATTTTTTCGGTTTTCCGTTTGTTTAACTTTGATTAGTTAATTTAATAGTTTATAAATTGAATTGAGAGATGATTATTTTAATATACCTTAAATAAATTATCAAGCTAGTTACATGATTTTATTGAATCAGTGCACGGAGTCTGTACATCGCATCCTATTTATTACGAAAAAATCTTTAAGAAAATCACATGAATAAGTTTTTAAAATACTTTGGCTAGTTTTCTAAAAAAAAAAGGAAAATATAATTCGAAGCGTTTACACCGAAAGGCACGTTAGCGTTAAACAAATGTCCAACGCCGCAGATGGAATTTGGTTAAAATTTGGCCATATAAACATTAAATTTTTTTTGGATTAATATATTTTTAGTCCTATAAAATTAATAAATCTTGATTTTAATTTTTATAAAGTTTTTTATTTATTTTTTATCTCTATAAAATTAAAATTATTATTTTTAATTTTTATTTTATATGATTATTTTTAATTTATTAAAAAATCAAATAATTATTTTAAGTGTTATATATAATTATTACGATATTTATTATTTTTAAAAAAAATTATAGATTCTTAAAATAAATATTATTTATCTATTTTAAAATGATCATTAAAAATTAAAAATAGATAATTTAAATTTTAGAGAATGAAAATTAAATAATAATATTTTACAAAAATTAATATCAAAATTACTCATTTATAAGAATTAAAAATATATCTAAATTAAAAATCTTTGACAAATAATGAATGTCGTTTCAACTTTGGTTGTCATCTCATGATGACACGTAGCTAAATTTCCATGGCTTGTTTAATTTTCACATGAAATTATGATTAGACTGGTATTTGCATACTTTATGTCATTCTTCTTGTGGTCGTGGGTCAATATAGAAAATAACTATGTTAAGTCCGCAAATTAAACAAGCTGTGGGTCAATAAATCTATAACATTTACCTTATTTTGGTGTCAAATTTTTTTAACTTTTTATTTCTTAATTAACTTGTTGAACTATTTTTTTATCTTTTAACTAATTTATTTAATTATTTTACTATTCTAAAATTAATCACACACTTTTTTATTTTTATTTTTATTATTATTTTTATTCTTTTATGATAAAGTATAGAGTGTCTCACTTTCAACGTATAAAATAAAGGAGATGGTTCCTCAAAGAGGATATGACTGTGGGTTAACACGAAGAAAATAGCTATGGGGGCCACGTGATCGAGTTAATAAATAGTAAATCTTTATCCTATAAACAGTAAAAATCAAGATGTTATTTTATGTGATTATAAAAATTTGAGCGCATCGCCATTGTACATTTATTTTTTTCATAAATGCATTGACTTAACATTCTTCTAGAGATACATATTTGTCATTTTTCGAAGATTAATATAATCGACCTCAAACGAACTACTAGGATCGACTAATGAAAGAGATCATAGTTCAAACTTCATTATCACTGTTGAAAAAAAAAACTAATAAACCTTAAATCTTTTAAGGAACAAAATGGTCTTTCACTCAAAAGTACATTTGTTAATTGACAAAATTATGGTGTAATTGGTAATTCGCAAAGGATATGTACTCCGTGATTTGTATAGTAAATTACGCTGAGGTTTCTGAAATGTCTTGAGATTGCACACATTCACCAGAACTCTACTAACTCCCTTTTTTGTTTAGAAAACATTCACCAGAACCTCTTAAACATTATACTAAATCTCTCTTAATTATTTGCAAAACACTACGCTGCGTTTCCTTACAAAGAAGGTTGGTGTAAACATTGAAAAAACAGAACCTCATAATATCTCAAGAGGAGTAAATGTAATGTACGCTAAATTGTATAAACATATAAGAATTTTTCGATATTTCTCATCTTATTGTTGCAAAATTTGCAATACGCGGATATGTAGAATATGCAGTTAATAAAATCTGCAAAATTTAATTTTCTAACCATATAATAAAGCATGTAATCTAAAATTCCAAATCTTTCATGGGTAGTGAATTTGCTTGCTGAATGGGCAGGGATTTACATCCCGTGTCATTTCATCGTCACCTCTATTCTCCCAATTACCTCAAGTAACGGCTGAAATTACAATAATGTAATAAAAAAAAGTATGGCCCAGGGAATAAATTAATTTGGTAAATAGGTAAGGAAAAAGGAAAACGAAGCGATATATTCGAGTTCGCATGGGCAAATAAATGCTCAGTAAAATTATGATACATGTACATTTCTCAGCAACACTAAAACAGATCAGTGGCCAAAAAAGAAAAAGCAAAAACCAAAAGCCAATCAGAAACAGATTGGAGAAGATAATATACATTGATACAAGTGAATGATGAGTGACATACACATTAATCTTGCAACATGTCTGGGACTGAGAACTCCCTCGTTGTTGTATAAGTCACAACAAAAGCCGCACAAACAGATTGGAACTAGAATGTGATCTCACAAGGTGCATGAAATGTTCTCCCTCGACATATAGGCTCCAGGTTTTCTCCAGCATACGAACAGAGTGGTGACACTTCAACTCCTTAATGAGGGGCAATGACATTTCATGAAAGGAAAAGGAAGTTAGATATGACAATCATTTTCCTTTTATCCTTGGAAGTAAAGAGGAATAACTTACCTGTTGCATATAAGGGTACTGAATGTGTTAAGAAGCCACCTGCAGCAACTACCCAACGAGTATGGAGTCGAAGAACAAGCAGTTTCGCACTGTCTGGAGTGTCAACATTGGATCCATTTGCATTTTTCACTGGAGCAAATTCCTCCTCTCGTAATACCTGAACATGGATGCATAAAATATGCAATAATAAGAGTAGAATCCTCAAACAAACATCACGTCAGGAAATAAATTGCACAATTTTATGTAAAATTTAGAATTATAGTCACCTCAAAAAGTGCAGTCGTAGGAGCATATGGAAACGCATCAAATATAAACTGTTCAAGTTTTAATCCCATTGTATATCCATGTATGGAAGGTATTTTCTTCTCTGCAAGATGATAACTGCACACAAAATCAACGGATTAATATCTATCTATCTATATCTATATCTATATATCTATCTATCTATCTATCTATTATATATATATATATAGGGAGCATATCAAGTGAGAGGAATTTATTATGAGAGGGTGAGAGGGTTAAAATATAACTCTTAGATTAATTTTCTCTCACTTGATTAAATCCCAAATTTTCTCTCACTTGATTAATCTAAGGGTTATATTTTAACCCTCTCACCCTCTCATAATAAATTCCTCTCACTTGATATGCTCCCTATATATATATATATAATAGATAGATAGATAGATAGATATATAGATATAGATATAGATAGATAGATATTAATCCGTTGATTTTGTGTGCAGTTATCATCTTGCAGAGAAGAAAATACCTTCCATACATGGATATACAATGGGATTAAAACTTGAACAGTTTATATTTGATGCGTTTCCATATGCTCCTACGACTGCACTTTTTGAGGTGACTATAATTCTAAATTTTACATAAAATTGTGCAATTTATTTCCTGACGTGATGTTTGTTTGAGGATTCTACTCTTATTATTGCATATTTTATGCATCCATGTTCAGGTATTACGAGAGGAGGAATTTGCTCCAGTGAAAAATGCAAATGGATCCAATGTTGACACTCCAGACAGTGCGAAACTGCTTGTTCTTCGACTCCATACTCGTTGGGTAGTTGCTGCAGGTGGCTTCTTAACACATTCAGTACCCTTATATGCAACAGGTAAGTTATTCCTCTTTACTTCCAAGGATAAAAGGAAAATGATTGTCATATCTAACTTCCTTTTCCTTTCATGAAATGTCATTGCCCCTCATTAAGGAGTTGAAGTGTCACCACTCTGTTCGTATGCTGGAGAAAACCTGGAGCCTATATGTCGAGGGAGAACATTTCATGCACCTTGTGAGATCAACTACATTAAGATTTAAACTTCATTAATTATAACTACTGATAATCATGCATCAGAAGAATAGTGATTAATCTTCCTGAGTGGTCCATGTCATCTGATTAAACTGGTGAAGTAGATGATTTTTTTTTTTTTTTCTATCATCGAATTGGTACTATAGCAATGTAGCATTTTTTTAACTCGAATATGGTTATATGACATTAAGACAACAAGGCAGCATGTCTCGCAATGAATAAATGTCCTCACAGTTGAAATTCAGAAAACAACGAAAAGCAAGATGGAGACAAATAATGGGGGCAAGGAGGTTGAAGTGAAAGAAGGCAACACACATACACGCTGTCTTTTTCAAGGCCATTTGCCACTTGGTTCAGAAAATCCAGAGTGAACATGTGTAAGCAGACCTGAAATCACAAGGTCGATTAGAAATCTTGAAGATAACTTGCAACTCAGCCAGTAAAAATAACAATCAAATTCTGACGTACGAATATTTTCAAGATCTATAAATATGACTAGTTGAATACTCATGCTTAAACATGATCACACATAATAGCCTTCATCTTATACTACTACAACAACTGAGCCTTATCCCTTTAGTGGGGTCAGCAAAATAGATTAAACGACACCACAGTCATTTTCATTTATCTTTATGAATTTCCTGTTTTGGTTGATAAAGGAAATCAAGTTATGAATCATGACTAACAAGACCCTATGATGGCAACCACATGGATACATAAGAAAAGAAGACTAGAAGGACGGATTATATCTTTCAGAAATATTTTAATACAGAACCTGAAAGCATTGGTATAAAATAATAAGAAACAGAGCTAGAGTATATTATGATAATTTTCATCATCAGAAGATTCCCATAGTTTCTAACAGTGTATGCCAATTTGCTAACAGAATATATGATCATATCAAAGTGCAAACGCTCCAGTCTAGATGTCAGCAAGTCTCAAAATTTTGATACTTTCAGTTTCCACTTAGTTAGGAAGTGTAGTGATAGGGCCAGTGAGTAGATGTAGTTGGTTAGAACAGTTAGGCGGTTGAAGATGTAGCGGTAGGAAATTAGCTGAGTTGGAGAGGGTACAGAAGTGTGTGCATTCTGACATTACCATCAGTGATCTGAGCATTAGCTTTCTTGTAAAAGGGGGAAACCCTTTAAAACCATTATGAAAGTATTCTTAATCTCTTTTCTGTTTTTCTCATCTCTTTTTCTGAAAACTCCAATCGATTTTAGGTTCCTAACATGTAGGGTGCTAACTCTTCAACCCCTAGCTTTCCATTCTAGAAGATCATAGCCAAAATTCAAGGGAAATGATCCTCAAAGTCTATGGCAAATTGAGTGCAGAAAGCAGAAGCAATGAGATTATAAAGAGGAATAGACTAACATTACTCCAACAAAAACGAAGACGGCCAGTTGCTTGATTGACTGCAGAAGCTAGCGACTGGTCCAACTCACTGTATTCAACTACAGTTAGAGGACCACCTTTGCCTCGTCTTACAAACACACCAACCTTTTCTTGTGGGTATGCCTGTCATATAATGACAAAGTTTAGTAAGCAGGAAATATGCAAACAACAAAATTAATTGAATTGTGATTTTTTTAATAAATAAAAGCTTATCATGTCTCATGCAATTTTCATAAATTACAGATCCTGAATATTATCAACATCACAACGAGATTTAAAACTCTAAAACATTAGAATTCAACTAAACCATAGGTATATCCGTATATATATTTAATGTATGCCTCCGCTGTTTTCCTTGGCTGGCATATCTTAAACAGATAGCTTTTTCTTCTGTTCCTCAAGCTGTAAAGCATCGTAACCACGCAGATAGAATATATAAAATAAATTGATGTAACACAGGACTGAAACCAAATAGGGGTCTATAAGAAAAATAGGATTTGGCAAGTCAAAGTTTACAGGTAAGAAAGAGAGAGAAAGGAAAATGAACACAGCAATACTTTGGTTGAGAGGAAGAACTACAACGGTAGGAAGTGATTGAAGATTGTGCAAATCCAGAATCAGAAAAAGGGGAAGGTGTTGCCTTACACTGACACTAATACTTTCTTCAATGCCGCTGCAAAGAACCATTGAATTTTAATTGAGTTTGTTAAGATGTCATATTCCTCCTAGCCATTGTGTGGCATGGCATCTTTAAAAACTCAATTCAAAATTCAATGCTTCTTGTCCTTCAAATTGCAAATTCCATTTCTCAAAAGTTAGCTTCAGGGGGGAGGCCTGCCCAAGCCTTATTAGTTTGGGCTCTAGCCATTTTTGTATGCTACATCTTAACACATACCCCTTATGTCCAGGATTGGAGATCTGAAGTATGAAGTTTGTAGGATTGAAGATTTGCAAGTAGTTTGTATTAAAACTAGATAGACTTTGATAACATATTAGAGAACAACCAAATTTAACCCAATCCCAAAAGCTAGCTAAAGGGGAGGAAATTTTGGGATGGGGTTATCAAAGTCTATCCAGTCTTAATACAAGCTACATGCAGATCTTCAATCTTGAAGACATCATACATCAGATGTCCAATCGTGGACATACAGGTATGTGTTAAGTTGTCCTATAAAAAATGTCTAGAGCCCAAACTTGTAAGGCTTGGGCAGTCCTCCCCCCTTTAGCTAACTTTTGAGAATTAGAATTTGAGATTTGAGATAGACCCATTCCATTTCTAATTCTATTAGAGACATCATCTCAAGCATTATCATCTAATTGAGACAGGAAATGGAAACCATGAAGGTAACTTATCATCTATCATCTAATTGAGACACAGGAAATGGAAACCATGAATGTAACAACAGCTACAGATTCAAAGAAAAGAAAATAACTAAACAACAGATCATCCTGGAAAAAACAATTTATGCAGAGTGATTATCAATCTACTAGTTTATTGCAACACCTGTCTAATCATAAAACAAACATCACTAATCTACAACTAGACCACAAAAGGATTGGATCTTGCCCATCTATTCAAGAACATAAACTACTTAAATACAATGTTCATTATTTCAGTGAAAAAGCAAACCCACACAGCTATGTTTTATTTCTTTGCACAGAAATGGGAAATATAAGCAATAAAAAACTTGACCTCTCAAATTCAGAAATTATTCTACAGGTTGCCTTAATAGGAATTACTTAATTCATCTGTTACCTTGCGGACAACTTTTGCAGCAGCAGAAACACCTTTATCAATGAAGTAGCCTAAAAAAGTTGGATCAGCAACTCTAACCTGTTTCACAAATCCTAATCAATTTGTTTTTAAATAAGAAGTGATAACTGACCAGGAGCACTGATATATGAGAGACAAAATATGAAGCAAGAAAATAAATTACCAGTGCATTGTCAACTCCGTAGCAATCAATGTACTTAATTCCTTTTGAGGCCATATCCTCCAATAATTTAGTAGATTTCAGAGCTGAATGAAAAAAAAAATGAAAAAAAAAGGTCCAATATATTCAATTTTGACAAATCAATATGTAAAAGATATTTAAAAATTGCAGTTTTATGTCAGCATACAGACTGGAATTTGAAAAAAGAATCGTGTATATAAACCCCACAAGGTACCTGAATACACTCCACCATTCCCGTCAGGAGCCTTTGCTACCTGGCTTTGAAAGTTTCAAGTATTAAACCACCAGACAAATCAAAATAAGGTCATAAAAACAACGGAACTAGAGTTCAAAAGTAGCAAGATAGAACTAAAATTAGATTAGTAAAACAAAATAAAAAATTGTGATTACAAATCATCTCTTCAAGTTCTCATTCTCTAATTAGATACATTTACATATCGCAGGCCCTTAAAAAGTTGAAAAAGGGTGAGTAAGAAAATAAAGGTTTTTTCTAATAGCTTAGTTTTCTATTATTTGTGTTATTTAAATGTCTTAATCATTATCATATGCTAAAACATGCCATAAGGAGCCCTAAATACTCTATAATCATTTGATTCATTTCAACATATTGGTGAATAAATTTGTCTTTCCAACTAGCAATCCTCAATTTTAAATAGTCCCTGTCATTTAAAACCAAAGAATTACACAATTTAGCACAAAGGGAAGGTAAAGTAATTAACGAAAAAATCAATGGTGCATATTACAAGCACTTGCATAACAAATCATGAACAAGTTGGAATATCTACCATTGATTTTCTCAACAATGACTGAGAATATAGAGGGATGTATAGAATTAATAAATCCAACTTTCACAATGCTGCTGCTACTATTTTGAAAACAAAAATCAAAGTGGTCAGTTTTTCTGGTTTTGGATCTTTTCAGAAGCTCAGTTTTTTTTTCCACGACACATAATCAACTATCCATTATATAAACCCCAGAATGATGCTTAGTGACTCGGAGAATACTAAAAATCGACAGGTACACATTGTACTGCAACTGCAGACTTCTCAATAAGCTTAATGAAAAATGTTCAATGAATAAATTCAAGACCTAAAAAAGGGACAAAACTCAAGGCAATAAATATATAGCATTCTAAATTTGAGCTTGAAAAATCTTGCAACTTAATCTGACCTCCCTATGGCCATATTGCACAGGAATTCCGAATTTTAATTGAAAATATGTATATCCAACCTTGAATTTCTTTTACAAGACACTTCATCTTGAAAACTTGGTACACACCAAGATGCAGCAGCAGCAGCCAAATTTAAATTTCAAAATACTTAAAAAGATGCAGCAATTTTTCCAGATTATGACATGATCAAATAAATAAATCATAGCTTAAATACCCTTTGGTTCCTAAAGTTTCATAATAGTCCCAATATATACCAATTTTGTTTCTTTTTAATCGTTGTTGTCTATTGATACAAGGACTAAAAAGTAAAATTTATGAAACTATAAAAACTAAAAAAGTATGTATAAGGACTACAACGGAATGTTTTTAATTATAAGAATTAAAAGATAAAGTTCATAAACTATAGGGATCAAAAGAGTAATTTAACCATAAATCAATTATCAGCAATAATCAGTTGAATGGTAAGTTCTTGGTACCCTCATTTTTCTCTCTTTTAGTATACATAAATTTAAGAAAGCAAAAAAGGATAAGAAAATATATTTAAATCTCGGTAAAAGAATGAGAGTATACCCTGTATGGAGTCTCCATAATAAATCTACCATCCTTGGAAACACAAGGGATTGTTCCTTGCTGGAAAAAGGTAACCTATATCAAAGAAGTGAGTCCATAGTAAGTAAACGATTACAAAACAAGTACTAATAGAACACGATACAGGTTTAGACATCTTACTTACCTGTTCTGCCTCGAGACCAAAAAATTTATGACTTTCAAAGAATTTGCGTGTTGCCTCATCAGTGAATGGACTAGTCATTATGTACCAATGTATTTGCGCTGAAGAAGCAGAATCTGCAATGCATAAACTGATGAGAATGTTAAAGAATAATGCAAGAAAAAACTGAACCAACACAAATGAAACTTACTCTCGTTTGTAGCTTGAGCAGCTAGTCTCTGTGCACACAAAATCCTCTCAGCTTGAAGTTGAAAAAGTGATTTTCCAGATGGAAGTCCAATATCTAAAGTATAATATAATAATAATAATAATAATAAATAAATAAAAGTTATATTTCATGATTTACCCTCAAAGCACATTAAAATGAAAAAAGGGAATGTGAAGTCGAGCAGATAGAAAATGCATTTAGTATTCATATTTACACCCAGTAAAAATGTTAGTGGTTCCAAAATAAGAAATTATTAGATATCTTCTACTTTACGTACAAAAATCAACTTGCTTGTAAACCATCCATGCTCAACATTCAACTACTACCTTTCTGCTTTCCATGATGAATACATTTGCTTTCTTCCTAACCAGAAGAAATTTAACTAAAGAATATATATAAATACAAGTTTCCTGGTTTTCATTTCGTCCAAAGAAATTTGTAATCTTACCAAAAGTTGTTTGTCTGAAAGACGTTTCTACCATTGGTTCTAATTAGAATGATCTTATCAAGAAACATAAGGGTGAGTACATCAATATATAGGGTGTAGATTATAAACATCATTAAAATCTACAACAAATGAAAAATGAACTGAGTGAAAAGACAAATACATATTAAAAAAATAGAACAGAGAACAAATTAATCTATGGTCCAGAATCACATCAGGTTCTACGCAAATGATGAATATAATGGGTACTGATAATTATATCATACTTTGTTAACGGATTAAACCAACAATAATGATTTTAAAATGGAACTTTATAAATTTCCCAGTCCAACCATATTGTTATAGCTATAAATAAAATAACTGATAGGAAACTTCCTTATAGTGAAGAGGTGATAGGACAATTGATAGATCAAGTTTGTAATACGCCTAAACTTTGGAAGGTTTACACTAGGAAGAGAAATTAACATGTGGAGGAGGGGAAGGAGGGAAGTTGTTATGGGTAGGGATGAGAGATAGAAAGGGGTGAGTTGGGGATGGGAAGAGAATAGAGACAGGGGGAGAGAGAGAATATAATATTGGGGGAACTTCACTGTAGCTTGGACTCTCAGTTATGGGAATTGAGAGCTTTCTTATTTTAGTCTTTTTTTTTTTTCCTACTTGTATTCCCTACTTTCATCCAAAAGACATCTACTGTTTCTGTTAAATCTCTTGTACATGTATAAAAGAAAAAGAAGCTTTTCAGTAGTATTGTGTCTCTGTTTCTATCAAACCGGTTCAACATGACAACTAAAGAAATTCGAGCTCGAATAATTTGCTTTCAATATCGAGTGAGAATACTCACTGAAACATCCTTTTGGATCTGAACTTCCAAGTCGAGTCCCCTGCATTTAAAGTTTTCGGACATTCTTAAGTCAGCTAAACAGACAGACAATTTGAAATTTAACAGTTAAAAATGAAGACTGAAAGCTACATAAAAATGGTCCAGTTGCATCAGGTCCACTAAGAATGTACTAGTTATAAGTAACTAATATTTTTAGACTGAAGAAAGTAAGTATCGAAATAAATCAAGGCAAAAATATTCTTTACTCAGCTGCTCTTAGTCAAAGATTTGTTTTATGCATCATATATCATTTGTAACATCTTTCCGGATACAAGAAAAAGTTTAATCAAATGTTTCTCCAGATTTACTGTAGATGCTTGTAGCTCCTACACAGCCAATATAGTCTATTGTATAAATTACCAAGAAGAATTTGATTGGATTATCAAGAAAACCATATGATAAGCCAAACATTTCCGGACTTCATGCTGCAAGAAGTATTGAGGAAAAACTAGCAAATCCATAATTTCCAAAGTTGAAGATGGACTAAGAATTGGAGCAGATATGTTCTAATTGAGCTGATTAATATATCTTTTAGAAGGTCTTTACAATCATTTAAATATGACAAGGCAACTTGAGGAGGGAGAATGCAATTCAATTTATTAGTGAATGCTGTGGGATGTTTACAGATGGAGGAATGGTGTGATTTAAGCAGTTGTACACCTTATAACAAAAGCTATAATTCATATTGATGAGCTAGCATTTTTCTCAGTTTGATCTAATAATAAAAAAGACTGAAAGAGTTTTAAAAATTTTCAAATATGATGCAAAAACAATTTTTTGTTACGAGTGATTTCATTTCTCCCCTTTCTATTTTGTATTTAAAGTGAATTTTACTTTTTCTTGTATTTAGTAGGATGCGACTTTTTAATAACCTGAGCTGAATTTAGATGATTTGTATTTTGGGCCGAGTGATATACTAGACTATTGCCTGTTAAAGGGTTCATGCTAATCTGTACCCTATTTGCCCAAGAGGATTATTAAGAGGAAGTTATAAGAAAATATAAAGCAAAAGCAAAGCTCTAGGTGCCTCTATCTTGACCCAAAAAGAACTACCATAATCTAAGAAAACAGGGATACTTCAGATGCAAGCGCAATCATGCTGAAATTATATTATTTAGACAAACAGTGCCTACAGAAGAAGAAAAAAAAAAAGAATCTTTCAAAATTGCAAGTGCAAAAGGTTTTTCAAGCTTTCATGTTAAATGATCAGTTTCATATTAATAATAAAAAAATGTCTTCAACACATTATTATTGAATCAATTTCATGGGAGTACCATTAATAAAAATCATTTTTTTAATGAATTCACCCAAAATTCGTCTGACAATAGTGTTTTGAAAACAATGTGTTACTATTTCCTAAAATAAAAGAGGTTAAAATACATCAAGAGTCAAGATGGGGACAAGATGGCAATATTATCTTGACTATTAAGTATCTCACACATTACCAGAGTATTTTTGTAAAAACATAAAATAAAAAAAAATAGTTTAAATTACTTTCTTAGTTCCTATAGTTTTACTTATTTTTTCTTTTAATCTCTATAATTTAAAATAGATTTTTTTAGTCCTTATATTTATCTTTTTCAATTTTTTTAGTATTTATAATTTAAGATATATCTTTTTAGTTTTTATATTTGTAATTTTTTAATATTTTTAGTTTTTACTGTTAATTATTTTTTTTGTAACATTGTTTGTTTTGAGTTAATGTTGTAGAAGTCTTCAATTTTGTAAGGATAGAAAATAATGTATCAACAATGATTATCGCATGTAAAGGTATAAAAGAGGCATGAAACATCAAGAAATTTAATTTTAAATAATTATTGCAAAATAAATTTAACATAAAACATAGTTAAATTAATATCTCTATTACATTAACATAAAAGAGACAATTTTACAAAAAATAACAACAAAAAGATTAAAAAATTGCAAGCATAGGAACTAAAAATATCTATATTAAACTAAAAGGACTAAAAAGGATTAAAAAATAAGAATAAAGACTAAAAATGTCCATTTTAAACTATAAAAACTAAAAAGTAAAATATATAATTATATGGACTAAAAAATATTTTAATCAAAAAATTATTATAATAGTATTAAAATTTCATTTGATTAATAAAATTCGTTTTAATGATAATAAGAAAATAAATATATAAAAAAGTATAGATATTTACAAATTATAATTTTAAAAATCTATATATATATATATATAACTTTATTGTAATGTAGATTTACAAATGTTTTGCTATATTTAATTTTGACTGAAGAAACTTAAGTATTTATTAAATCAATTAAGAAAATATAAAATACACTTAATTGAATAATTATTTAAGAAAAAATTAATATTCATTTGATTTAATATGAGATCAGATTTTCATGTAAAAGATGAAAAGGACATGAATAATTCTCAGGACACAAGTTACAACATAAAAAAAAAATAAAAATAAAAATACTCGATTTCATTAAAAAAGAGAGTATGATATCACTTTAGAAGGATAAAAAATGTGGCAACAAATTTAATTTATAGAAATAGATAAATAATAACAATAGCAAAAAGTAACAATGGTAGGGCTCATGGTAAAAGCCACTAACAATGAATAATATCTGAATATTTTGTATTTAAGTAAGACAAGTTCTATTAATTATTCCAGCTATGAGATTACGCCATAAATAAACTAATACTGTACTGAAAAAACAGACTATTTTTTCTTTTCAAAAAGGGGAAATGCACTAGAGAGATTATGTCAAATATCATGTTTTAATGTTGATGCTGATAACCATTTCCTGTGTATTCATATATTGCATTTTGGTGGAATCCGATGAGACGAGACAGAAGGGCAACCCCATAAGGGCATAACATAAAGCAACTTTATTGTACCTAATGATTACACTAAACCAAGTTAAAGCCACTGCTTTTTATACCCCTAATAAATCAATTACCTATTATTTTAAGTGAAAACCAAAAGAGAGCCGCATCATAGTAGCAGCGTACTATAACACATGAAAGCAGATTATTAAAGTTAAAAAAGAATAAATAAAAGAGCATATGCTCTTACACAATCACACCTTTGCAGCTAATGATGTTGCTTTTTAGGGACAATCAAAATGGAAGACCCACGAATTCTACCTTGTCTCTAACGGAGAACGTTCCCCAAAAGGGTTGGCATTATAACAAAATAATTCTGACAGAAAAATGGAGAAATCATACTGCTTGCTATCTTTATTATCATAGTCATCACATCAATAATGCGCTCTTAGTGCAATAAAGTTACCGTAAAACATTTGTCAGAGATACATTGCATGTACTCAAAGATTCTAAATATATCTCACGGGCATCGATCAATAGTGAAATAACACATCATTATTATCATTCATAATCTTCTAATTCTAATCACTAAAACAACATACATATAAAGAAAAAATGTATATGTTGTTCCAAATTTAAATGTACCTGGCCACCAGATAAAAGCAACACAGCTAACTTGCCATCTGAAATAGCCTTCAGCCCCATTTTCCACCATCTCTCTCGTTCCTCCTGGCTTCTCTCCTCCACCGTCGACACACTGCTCTCCGGCACAGGCTCAATGGCCGCCGCCGGCAGTCCTGAGAAGCAATCAGAATTCAATAACACGCCAAACGCGCAATCACTAATTAACATGCATGCACGTGAAGAGAAGAAATCGATTCGATTAATCAACAAACACGCAATCATTAATCGACAATTGACAGCCAAACCTTGAGATCGCAGCGAGCATCGAATAATCCGGTCAATTCTCGAAAGATCTAAACTCTGCAACACGGAACAGAATAATTAAACAAGGAAAAACATACAAATAAGTCGAAATGAAGCGAAAACGAAAAACGAGACGAAGTGGAGTTGCGAATCTGAATCTCGGAGCTCGAATCGGAGGCGGATCGGGAGGAAGTTGAATTACCTCGATGTCCTTGACGAGAAGGTCGCGCTCCTCCGGGGAGAGCTCGTACCAGAGGGCGAAAGCGTCTTCTTGACCGTAGTCTTTGAGTCTCTCGAGGAGAGCTTGCGGCGGCGGAGAAACGACGCCGTTGCCATCGAATCCCACCGACGATGGTTCCCTCATTTCTCTTTCTCTCTCTTCGTTATGGATTTCGATTTCAGATCTCGAATTGTGAAGCGAGCGAGTGAGGTTGAGTGTTGGTGTTAATGTATGGTTGGTTGGTTATGGAGACAGGGGAACAGTGGCGAGGAAGACAAGAATCAAATCGGTAACCACCCTCCTTCAGTCACTCTCACAATTACCTAAATGCCCCTCCCCTTGTCGATTATATATATATGCTCCCGTCATTATCATTTATCAAATTCTCTACTAATTTCACCAAACCATTTCTCAAAATTGTTTTCTTCAATTAATACCACTTTACTTTCATATATGGACTTGTCACATTTATTAAACTCAAACTCAACCTAACATATCTTATTCTAACACCCACCACATCAAATTACTATTATAATGTATTAAAGGTTTGTTTAATTTTATACTAATAATATATAAAAATTAAACCTTTTCAGTCTTAACATTTTTATTAAAGTTGACAAATGTTTCTTGTTCTCATGTTCATGAAGACCAATTGTACCTATCTTGCATATTCTTTTTTGGGGGGTGTTTTATAACAGATTCTCTAACTACCAAATAATCATTTCCATTTAGCTGGTTGAAGTCGCGTACAGTCACCCAAGATGAGTAAAAAATATATTATGGACGCATTTTATTTGTGAACATACAATTGTTTGAGAAGGATATAAAGTTTGTTATTTGTTTAAGCAAACGCAATGCAATAATTTGTTTTTGACAGATTACCATAACACGCCCAACCGACCCTGGCATATAAGTATGGAAAGCAATAGCAGCGAGTTAGGCTAAAGCATATATATATATATATATATATACACGGATATGCTTTTGATACTATCAATATCGTAAACATATCCTGTCATGTCATAGCCCGCTCATGTGAAATTCCGATTACCCCCTCTACCCTCATATTCTCCTGACATTGCATAATTTCATTTTTTTACGCACGCACACGTAAGATGCTTGTTTTGCACTGCTAAATCCAAATTTAATTATTAAAAAAAGTGCAGATCTAGAAATCTTACCTGCATATAACATCGCAAATTTTTCTACTATGTTAATGTTGCATTTTCCGAATTATGTGACACATAAATATGAAAATGTAATTTTACTACGTTTAATGCATGGTTTAAATGGATTTTGACTTATATATTAAGGAGAATCGAATATACCAGTATCATTTCCAAGAAACCTCATTCATAAAACCCAACAAACATCCCGCACGTTTATCTCATTAACAAGTACTATTGTTTTTAAAATTCAACAGATCAAAGTATTGATTTAAGTTTCAATTGTAATTCAACAAATAATTCAATTGATATTAATAAAACAGTAATAATAATTAAATAAAACATAAATAATATTAAATTTATAATTATTTAACACTAAAAAACTAAACTAAAACATTTTATAACTTCTTTAACATTCTAAGTACATATAAAAGTTTTAACCAAATAAATCATAATACTTGGGTTTAAATTTTAATAAAGTATAATAATATCCATTAATAACAACAAACTTACATCTAGAATAAAAAAATTAATATAATATAAGTTATAAGAAATTAAGGTAAAAATATTACAAATTAATATAAATTATCAAATTATGTTTGATAAGAAAAAAATATTGGTAAAAATAAGTTATCCTTATTCGTAATACTTATTAATAAAGTACTTTTATTTGATTTAATCCCATAAAGACTGACATTGATGAATGAAAATAAACAAAAGGATAAAAATAAGCAAAAAAATTTATAAATTAAAACCAAAAATATTAAATTTTATAGAGATCGTAAACTTATTCAACCGTAGAAGATATTTCATAGCGGTAATGCACAAGCACAACCCCCCATATTTATCCATGGCATAAATAAAATAAGCTTTCAAGCTATACTCAAGTGTTGATAATTGCATGTTTCAAAGTTCATATTTGATCCGTAGCAACCTCAGATTTGACATGAGGTTACTGCCTGCCATCCTTTCTTTATTATCCTGATATTCACTGAATTTTAGGTTATTCTTGGATCAATATATATTCAAATAACATCAACTCCGGACTAAAGAGAATACATGGAAGGAGAAAAAGGCTCCAAAATAAATTATAAGAAGTCCAATCATGTATTTAACTTCATCGGATCACGAAGGAAATATACCACATTTGAGCCGACAACAAAGTTGGCAAGCTTAGTGGAAATCACAAGGATGATGCTTCCGCATTGAGTGCTTCTTTAACTGCTCTCAGAAGCGATGGCATCAATTTCTGGTTTGTGACAATAATACCAGAAACAACATCAAGAAACTTTCCTTTTGAAAAGTCCAAAGGGTTTCCCGCAGCATCCATGCAGATACCTCCAGCTTCTACAGAAGTTCAATTGCAGGTAAAGAAGATTAGACGTAGAAGACATATTCAACATCTAACCTATGCTGGAACCTAAATATTGTAACATGTCAATTGTCAAGGGAAGTCATAATTTTTCAGCATTTTTTAATCTCAATTATGAGTACACGTGTCATTTAAAATTAAGGGTTCAGTATATATAACTCATCCATGAGTATAATATCATCATTGTATTGAGGACTTGTTTGGGCAAACCACTAAAAATATTCAACACTCCACTCCCCGCAACGAAACTTTTTTTGGAATTCTTGTAGTACCTATTCCCTTACAACTATTTTACTTTAATTAGCAGTTTTTTTTTCTTGTTTTTATTTTATAAAAAAATGCATACGTGCCAAGTGTCTTACTTTGAGGGGAAAGGAGTATTTAAAAAGACTTCCAAGCCCCTTAAATTCTTTAGTAAGTTTAAACTTACTACAATAAAGAAAGCATTTACTTCATTTAAAGATTTTCTGCTAAAAATAATTATGTTCATAAAACATATTCCAAAAACACATTCAATATGTATATGAAGGGAGTCCAGATCCTAGTAAACCTAGACATTTGAGTAGGACTTTGGCTTGATAAACATAAACATCTAACCAAATATTATTTATGACCAAGTCTGGACAAAAGCCGAGCATGCTTACCAAGAAAAGATTGGTCAATTTGTTGATGAAAAAAAAAATAATTCATAACAAAAAGACAAAAAAAAATGAAAAATACACACCGGTCACAACAATGCTGCCAGCAGCATGATCCCATATTTTTTCACGGTATCCTTTGTGAGGGAAACGCAAATATATAGCCCCGTCTCCTCTTGACAAAGCTCCATATTTTGCTTGGCTATCAATTCTGACTGGTGGCGCTTTGACACCAAGTTTCTGTTCATGGAACAATGATCAAGAAATGTCTGCAAATTAAATCTAAAAGAGCTAAAAGAAATAAAGTTAAAAACAATGGAAAAGGACAAAGGTGTTAACTATAGCAATAGAATTACTTCTGCAATGGAACTAGATAAGCCATGCGACGTGTGCGCTGCTTCAAAAGATTCAAAAAATGATGCTTCTTCTGGATTATCAATATCACAGACATGCACCTGGATGATGATTTGGTCATAATACAAATGTCAAGGACATGACATTACCAAAAGTGTCAAGTAAAATGACATTTTACAAGCACCAACCCTAGTTTGTGTAGAACCACCCAGAGCTTGCATGTATGTTCCGTCACCAACTTTAGCAAAGAAGAGACAACCAACTTCATTTGAAGAATGCTGCTGATTAGAGCCAATGGATGCCAGTGGAAGATTTGGACATGCCAAGACACCCAATACAACTTTGCCTTCATCTAGCAAAGCTAAAGCGATAGCATATTGATCTCCTCTTACAAACCTATAATGTCATCTCACAAGCATGAGCTACTCAATGACATTAAGCACAATGATAGCACAATGACCAAGAAAGTCAAACAAATAGTATAAAATATAGAATGTAAATTCAGAAATTAATGAAGAAATAGAATTTTTTAGTCAAATGTTTAATTATTTTGATGAGTAAAGGAAATAAAAGTAAACTATTCTAGTATTTTGTGTTATCAAAACTTTTTTACTCCAAAAATACAGTTATGATCATCACTTATTATGAAGAGACTCCAATTTTCATAAACATGAACTGTTCTAGACAAATTAAGGGCCTTTGCTTTGAGAAAATATTTTATATTTTCACTTTGTTTCCTGGTTTTAGAAGTTTGTACAAGAAACAGTGAAAACAAAAAATGAAAGCAAAAAATAACTAAAAAAAGTTTTAAGTTACTTTTCCATTACAAACTCTAGAAAACAGGAAATAGAATGAAAACAAGGTGGCCTTTTTGTAAATTAAAAGAAAATATAAAATGAAAACAGAGAACATTTTCTCAAACCAAATGGTCCCTCAGATATTCAATTTCACCATGCCTTGTAATAGATAATGTTTCTGTCAAAATTAAAACCATCTTTATAGTTGTGTTTGTTTAAAGTGATAGCAAAATTCAACCACTATTTTTAGTCCTTCCTAATCAAAATAGGATACTGAATGACAAATGCAATCTTAGAAAACAATCAGGATTAATAATACTAGAAAATTTTCATATATTTATGACATGAGATATTACAAACAACATGCTGCAAGAAGTTCACAACTTATTAGGAAGAGAAACTAATGAAACTTAGAAACACACAAGACAGTATTCATACCATATAGAATTTTTATGAGAAGAAAAAAAGGATACTCACCCTTTAGTGCCATCTATTGGATCCAAAACCCAGTGTCTTCCAACAGAACCACCTTCAGACTTACCATTGTCAATGGCTGTAAGCAAATCATTTGTTGTTAAAGTAGAAAACCCATTTGATCCTTCACTAGCAAGAGTATCATTGACAAGTTCAGTAATGCGCTTCAGCGTATCCTGGCCACTTTCTTTACGAAGATCCCCTGAATCCTGAAGTTTTAAAATTGGACTTTATACTCAAGCATGGAAAAGAAAGCGAGTCTGCATGTCCAAGAAATCTATAAGAGCATACAATTTTACCTCCTCGGCTACTAATGAAAATGGTTCAGCA